TGAAACAGGAACTCAGCGCAATCAATTATATATTTTGTCATACACAGGGTCTACAAATTTGAGGGGTTTTTTTTCATAAACAGGGTACCCCTTTCAGAATCCCAGAGTAACATCCCTATCCAAATCCTGTCGCAGTACCCCCCCCCCCCCAACCACCGGACATACAACATACCGCTGTGTTGGCATACATGCAGTATGGCTAGTCTCCCCCTCATGCAGCCGCTCTCAGTGTCATCACGCAACGCACTGGGGAACTGAGCTGCTATAAAATAGACCAAACATGAGAGAAACAACAGTACCCGATTAAAGTTCAAAATGTGCCTAGGGCCAACAACTGAAACATCTAAATATAGCAACATGTTGCGCGCACTTTTATCAAGTTAACACATGTACAGCGTGTCCCTATTAAAGTTTTTACCAGTGCATCAAAATTCCAAAACCATTAATTAAGTTTAGTATAATTATCTAATTCATATTCAGTGTATCAATAAAGTTTATAATATTTACACGCCTAGCTGTAAGGAAACACACATACTCAAAGAGGAATAACACTCTACTAACATTTTTTAAGGAGCTCAGCGAACATTTACGGGAAAAAAAACCGGATTCCCAAATTGGGAATTTGCTGGGAATTTGCTTCAATTCCCAACGAATTCCCATCCAATTCCCAGAGAGAACGAAATTGGGAACGTGGCACTGATTCCCAATGTTAGTTTGTTGGGAATTTTGTTTTTCTATTGGGTATTAGAAGGAAATTCCCAACAATAAATCCCAACGTTGGTCGTTCGAATTGGGAATTCAAGGAAATTCCCAACAATTCCCAATTTGGGAATCCGTTTTTTCCCCTGTGATTTAACCATACTAATCTGCCAAGTATTTTTTATATAAGTAAAAACGTGGTGGATGGCATCCACTCAAAACCTAATTCACAACTGGATCCACTCATCTTAATCATTAATAGAATACTGGGCGTGTATTGAACACAACGGGAAATCGTTAAAAATAGAGTGCTCACGCGCACTTGTATGCGTATTCTAAGGATAAGTAAGAAAAGTGTCTTAGTAGGTCGCTCGCTCGAAGAGATAAGGGTGTGTCCAGTTCTGAAGCTTTAATGTAAAATGGATGTGGCTGGTAAGCAAGTCAAGATAAGGGCCCACCAATAACTGGTAATTGACATTTATCACTTTCCTGACAATGTTTGGATTTAGGAGTATTTTTGCTACTGTTTCTTTTTCGCGGCTTGGTGTTAGATAATCTTTGCTCGTCCTGTGATCCTAAAGAATTAGTTTCTCCTGTTTGCGAAGCTGAATTCCTTTCAACACGATACAACTGAGTGTCAGTAGTGCGTGTTGATGGAAGGTAACCTCCATATAAAGCAGTGGTACTAGAAATCCTTAGATCACTATCGGTGATGCTGTAATTCATACTGCTCATTGAACCAGGAACCATGTCCATAGTCCGTTTTGTATAAGACAGTTTAGGTACCATTTTCTTCTGTTTTGATAGATGAGTGGGCATGGCTTGTAGGTAGTTACTAAGAGAAGAATCACTAATTTCACGTCGAGCTGTAGCATTTACGTCATTAGTTCTACCTACTCGCTGTGCCGTGCTCTTTTCATCCCTTTTTGCCAAGGGCGCTGTAATCGATAGAGCAAGCTCAGGTTCATTGCAATCCCCTGTATGAACATCAACACCTCTGTCATTCAATAAAGCCGCATCATTGAACTGGAATATCTTCTTGTTGGAGTTTCTTTTGCTAGTGGTATCTCCAACAAGTTTATTGTTGTTTTGCCCTTCTACTGGATCATCTAACGCCCCAAAAGGAATAATAAAAACTGGTTTGGGCTCTGTCACCTCTTTACTGGGTGCAATGCTTTCGACAGGTGGTAGACTAGTTGAGGATTGATTGTCCTGCTTGTCAGTACCTCTTTCACTCTCACATGTATGTCCAACAACTAAGCTTGGAAAATTGTTCTTACTCTTGGATGTTAAACTTGTTTTAATATTGTGTTTGAGGACATGATCAATTGGGTCAGAAGTCACATTCTTTAGGTGACCACCAGATATTACTAATGACTCTGGTGCAGACTCGCAGCGAACACGATGATGATTATGACCTGGTTCTGTTGCTTTAGCATCACTCCATCGTTTGTGTAGTCTACCATGATGAGAAATGCATGATGTGTTCCTTCTCTTTTCATCCTTTGAAGCAAAACGAAGACTTCCTAAACTATAAAAAGAACTAGCACTAGAAGAAATGTAGTGATTGGCAGCCAGTACCTCCATGGATGGACTACAAGACTTGGTCTTACGATAGCTCTTGCTGTCCTTAAGTTTTTGCATATGAGGTTTTGAGCTGTTTATTCTCATTGGTTGACATCTGAGAGGATCAAAGTAAATATTCCCACTGTAGCCTTGCCATAACTATGATATCAAAACCACAATCAATAAACAAACAAACAACACACATATATACACACCTATTTCAAAAAACGTTGTCGGTCGGAGATCTGAAATCTGAGACTGAAAGGAATTGTGGGTTGTAAAAAAGCTGTAAATTGTTTGTGGTTTTAATAAATAGTTCGCAAAAAGTTAATATCTTGATATACTAACTTTGAGCGATGACCTGCATTGGCAAATTATCTGGGTAAGTGTATATTGAATTTTTAATGAGAAAATACTCAGTCCCCCACAATTCCAATCGGTCTCAGATTTCTGATTTCAGATATCCAACTGACAATGTTTTTTGAAATAGGTGTATATAAGGGAGGGGGGGGGGGGGGATTAATAAGCCTGACACTGACATGCATTCAGTTGTATAATAGATAAGGAAATGGATAGTTATAGGCAGAATGGAGTGATCTTTGACTGTGGTGTTACAGGGTAGTGGACGCTAAATAAGAGGGGAATAGTGGTCCAAGAATGATAGGAATGGTGCAGACTATCTTTCGCAAGCAATTTTAACATATTCCAGTACTTACAGTAATGTGCTGTGCTGTTGGCTGTATCTGATATGGTAAATAGCTTGGCGTGTTGTTGACTGGTGTTCCTGCATCTCTGACGCTATTGTAGGACACTAGTGATGCAGCATCATTATCATTTTCACTGGTAGTAGAAACAAAAGACGATTGTTCACACAAGAAACATTAATCAACTTGTGCAAACAAATGCAGTGTTAGGTACATAGCAAGCTAGTTATGTAAACAAATTTGATCAATCCATTAAAAAAACCATCATTTTAGTCTGACATCATTATAAATCAGTTACTTGCTTTGCTGTTTGGCCATGTTTGATCTCTTATGCCAGTACAGTACTGACCATTGCCAGTACAATAGCAAACATGCAGTACAGTCAGTAATTACCTCTGTTTGTGTTCATCTATCTGTTCATGCAAAACTTCCCTTGGCGCAACACCACCATCATGATCATTATCATCAGTATCATGGTTGTCATCATCCACATCTACATTCCACTTTCTCAGATACTTTTCACTGCCATAATTGTCAATCAGTTCTTGTCTGTCAATGTCACTTCCACAGCTGCTGTTCTCTCTAGAGTCTGGTCGTGTCTTAAGGTGTTTCATGGCTACCATCACCTTTATTCCTGTACATACCACAGGCAAGAGACTCACGATATTAATTGATCACTGTTGATGACACAACAACCATTCAGTATTTCTAATATCTTTTCTGTGGCGAAAAATAGCCTTTCTAGATCTACATACTTTGCATATCTGTCACAAGAATCAGCAATGCCTATAATATCCTGCCTATTTATTGATTATATGTTTTCTCATACAAAAAATATTGGAAAAGTTACAAATATTCAGGCATTTCCTTGTCATTGGACTCAAATATGTTATAGAATGAATAACAATTGAACATTTAATAAATAGTTCAAAGTCCCATTAGTAAGATGTGTCTAATCTTTTAAATTCGAAATAATGAACTTGCAGTTCATAGGATTACAAATGCTTTTAGTAAGACAATGAAGATAATACCTCCAAAATCTTTATGTGGTTTAATATCTGTGCCGTTATGTGAATCAACAAAAAAGGAATCAAATACAAAACAAACTAATCACAAAAAGCTAGAATATTCTAATAAACAGTACTGTGGACTCGATGTCAGTTATATATGTACTTATATATACATCTATCAGATACAAATACTGCAGGAGGTATATATCCAGACATTCATTAACCACATGAAACCAACTAGATAACAAAGTTAAAGAATTGACCAAGCAAATCCTAATCTAGATCCCAGTCAGCTTATACATTTGTGCTATATCTGCTAGAAGGAATCACATGAAGTGGGTCGTGTTTCTTATTCCGTGATACAATAACATTAAGACTATAAAAAAAATTAAAACCAATGAATTCTAAAGTTTATAGTCGGTCTAACATGAAGGGAGACAAAGTAAACTCACTCGTGTATCCAAGGCGACATACCACAGGTAAAGTGATTGGTTAGGTTCATATTAGTTATAGGCCAGTCTACACGAGCAACCAGACTCAACAAAAGCCTTGCTACGCAACCAGTTTATGCACATTTAGACTTATGAATGATTCATTGTTTGATGACAATCGTAAAGGAGGAATAAATCAAGCAAAACAACAACACAAKTGAACACAGAGGTGTTGAGTTTACGCCAAACATGACAAGACTGCGTGTGTGGAGACCAAAAAATAAGATTCAAATGAWTAATGTAAATAAAGTATCGTTAACCTACCATGCTGACAGAAGGATGTGGTATCATTCTGCGTAAGTCAGTGTATAAATTTTAACCATTTTACACACAGCTTTGTTTTTAYTCGTAGAACCTCAGACAAACGCTTCCCAGGAAGACGTGCCGTCCGTAGTATAACACACAGAGGAGGGCTACGGAGGGGAGGGACGGGGGAACCATGCCACAGGTAACCCGTAAAACGAGAAAACAGATGATCTAAATTTTAAGACTTAAAAAATATTAGATCTATAGACAATCGTAAAGTTAGGGTGATATATTTAGGAACTCTGCCATCTAAACCRCTGCATAYACTATAAATGTACTGCCACTTCGAGATTCGGTCAGCTTTCGTGGTGAATTTGGCTAAAATCGTGCTTCTCGGGTCGTTTCTTAGTCTCCCCCACAGCCGCTTTCAGTGTCGTCACGCAACGTTTTCTCCCCTGAGTAGCGGCTGCTTACCCGAGCACAACATTCCTTTCCTATGAATTAACCAATCACGGCTTAGTTCTCGAAAACCAGGAACCATTCGAGCCATATGGAAAACAAGATGCGTCGTTAGAGGAAGGCTTCGAGATAGCAGCTAAGAAATTTCGCACCAAACAGTTTAATGATCATCAGAAAGACGCTATACGAAAGATTTTACAAGAAAAACAAGATTTCTTTGAAAATCTGCCTACTGGATATGGGAAATCGCTCAAAGGAATAAAATATTGGCGCTCTAGAGTATAGCCCAGTAATTTCTTTCGAGACAAGCTCGAGGACTTTTTGAATAACAAGAGTTCGAAGTTCTTGGCATTTCATATAAACTGCCAACGCGACGTTAGAAGGTTGGCCATAAGATAACGCTTTAGCTAACGATTCGTGTTCACTTTTCACGACTTTTCTAACAGTGTRAACCAAACMAAACAAAACAACTTTTCTAGCAGTATCAAATTGAGCTAATCCTCGCAGTATACGCGAAGTAAATACCAGAACTGTGAGCGTTCAGAGTTTACAATGAATACCCGTGGAAGTCAACGGTGTGACAGTGTCAGACTTAAAAGTTATCTAGCCTTTTTGCGATTTTCTTTAGCTTTACACTGCATTCGTTGTTTAAAATAAGTGATCTGCGCGGCTCATCTTCTTCGTTTATTAAATATACTGTCAGACTTTATATTCGAATTCAATCTCTTAAATCTTGAGTCGTCTCGTTTAACTTCCATGAGTCTAGATTACGCTTTTTAAAAAAGTTTTCCAGTTTCTTTTTGCTTCTAATATTTTGGTACGAGCTCGATAGCAAGTACAAACTCGAATTCACTATCGGCCGATTAAACAATGTCGATAGCTAAACTTATAAAAATATAAATCTTTTCTTTCTTTGTGAACAAAGAAAACACTTTGTTCCGTCTCCAATAATTTTTTTTTTTTTTTTTTAGCATTAAACATTTAACAAGAACGAATTCAATTTTAATTTCCCAAAGATTTTTGTCCAACTTCCACTCAATGCGTCTTAAATTATTTCTCTAGTCTCGCGATTGTTTACAAGTTGTCAAATTCGAAACGTTTTGATTGGTTCTTGAAACACAATGACACTTATCTAATTGGTTAAACACAAACAATAGGAAAGGAATGTTGTGCTCGGGTAAGCAGCCGCTACTCAGGGGAGAAAGCGTTGCGTGACGACACTGAAAGCGGCTGTGGGGGAGACTAGTCGTTTCTAGGCTAAGCAACTGATCAATTAGATTTTTTTATCCTCAACGAAGCTAGGTGATGARTACATTAGATCATTGTCAGTCATCTGCCAATTTATACTTCAGTATATTATATATGTACGCATAACTGTTGAGTGGTCGGAAGGCCAGTAAAATGTCTCTATATGTCATGACGCTATGGAAAACAAAATGTGAGTGGGCGGTTAAAGGTAAAAAATATGGATAAAAAAGAAAAGACGAAGATTAACGTCAAAAAATCTTCTGCTTCAAAATGTAGCTGAAGTGAAAATTACCATCTCAACAATAAAAAAGGCGTGAATGAGATCATTCAGATATAGTGATATATTGACTCCAAGAACTTCTTATTCATTAAAAAAAATCCTGATCCGTATAGATAAACGCCCTCGAGATATTTAGGTTAATAAATGATAAACTGTTGTCAGTTGAGGATATAAGGCAATACATACTTATACTAAGTTATATGGTTTAAGAACCTACGTCACTACAGAACAGATATGATGGAGTAGTTCCTTCCGCTACATCGTTGTCGATTGAACGGTGTTAAGAACTGCGCTTCAATGGATTCRGTGCACTCATGGTTTCCTAGATTTAATCCAATATAACATTCATATGGGTTTCTTATTGTGAAATATTTYTAAGACAGGCCAAAATATTTCCGATTGCCAATATTAAAGCTCCTTATGATGCGCACTGCACGTCTCAGTCGGTTACCTGTTTTCAATGAAATTACGTACATTGTACTTTTGATCCACATATAATGAAGGCTATTGTCCATCAAATTATTTAAGAATAAAATGGTCCTGATATTTCATTTATTTTCAGTTTTCATTATAATTTGATAATCAGCGCTAACTGTGTACGGTATGAACGATATCATTATGATCCTCTGAGCTGAACCAGCTGCTGGCAATTACTCCTATTCCTCGCAAACCCAGAGTTCTTATATATAAATGGGATATTTTCGAGTTGGGCCGTTGCAAATCCTTTTTTTTACCGAATGAGAATCAATGGCTCCCACAAATCAGAGAAAGGGGACCTGATTGATTGGGTAGGACGRCCAAGACAGTAACGTCCGGTAAATATATTGTTTACAGGATTTTCTTTTAAACCTCAGCACGACATTGTAGTGAGTACGATGAAACTCATTTATGTATTTCTAATAGGATAATTTGAACGCGTTAGTCCGCTCGTTTGTGCGGTTCGGTACATATATCAAGTATATACAGAGTGCTACGCCCTCATTTATTAACCCTGTAAACACCGGAACATWTTCAGTGTACTTAGTCTCCTATGAGACTTGAACTATGTCACTTGTCACATGTCATCTAGCATGACAATCATGAGCTTCAAGTCACCTACTGAACTCACCTAAAAGGGAAGAAATAGGATATAGCAAAACCTTTAATATCATATTGAAATACAGCATTTAAAACATATTTCTTRCTCAGAGCACTCGATAAATCCCTAAACTAATGTAGTGTGAAGTAATGGTGATAGGAATCAATTAAATCGTAATCTTTGCATTATAAAGCGGTGTTGACATTTTTAGTCACGTGATGTTTTATGCTGTCCATCATAGTTGACTTGGTTGAATAGTAGTGTATTTCACTTTGCCTTTTTGATCAACTACTTGCATGTTTGAGTTGCCACACAAGATTGCTGCCTCAGAAACCTTGATATAACCGACTACAGACAAAATTACATTGTACGGTCAGTAAAAGGTATGCCAGTGATGTTTAGACACTTACAATGTTTGCGGTCTTAGGGCATCCATACATAATGTGCAGTGCTATAGGTGCTTTGCTTACTAGTGCGACGCTCAAACTGAGTCTACACGTCTTGGCAAGTGTTTATTTTTGAATCATTGGATATATAAATGTGACTCTTTGATCGACTTTACAATGGATTTAGAGGTATTATTTCGCTTTGTCCTTAGCTTAGTCAGTAGCAGCAGTAAATATGTTCAGTCTAAATGTAAGCTGTACATTTATCCTATTTTATTATTCACAGGACGAGACCAACATGGCGGATGGAGGTGGTTTCAGCTCAAAGAGCTTCGGTCTGCGAGCGCAGAAAAAGATTCTTGGTAARATGGCATCGAAGAACGTAGCAAAGGCTTTCGTTGATGATGCGACAGGTGATCTACTGGATAACCTTTACAAAATCGCCAAACTCAACGGTTCGACAAAAAAGGAAGCAGAAAAGCTAATCAAAAATCTCGTTAAAATAGTAGTGAAGATCAGCATATTGTACAGGAACGACCAGTTCAGCAAAGAAGAAATTGTAATCGCTGACAAATTTAGAAAGACATTTCGATCTGCTGCCATGACGTTCATCAGTTTTTATGAGGTGGATTTTTCATTCGATCGTCAGTTCCTTACCAATAGCCTGGAGGCGTGTAAAGGGCTTTTACATCAACTTGTTCAACGCCATCTAACTCCCAAATCTCACGGCAGAATTGACCATGTCTTTAATTATTTTGGCAATGGTGCCCTGTTAGAACGAGTATTCGAACCAACAGGACCATATCGAGGAATCGTAAAAAACATGGCGGATGAACTAAACAAGCTAATGGAAGATGATAACTTGTAAACATAACAAAATAAGCTTAAAGCTTATGTCAAGATTCGAAGAGTAAGAAAAAGGGCAGCAGCCTTCGATATTATTATTATCGTGTTATCGAGTTGGTATCTAGTTTATTTCAGCTCACTGATTATTGAAAATCGATGATCAATTTTCAGCTTACTTAATGCAAACAAACATACGAATGTGTGCACAGTTAGTCAATCCTCCTCCTCAGCACAGACCTTTTATGTAACAATGACTTTAAAATATATTACTGATGTATACAGGTCAGATTTTCGAATGTCTGTTTTGAACCCTTCTTATTCTTTACGYTGTTTACCTGTTTCAGACCTAACTAATATCCTATTACAGATGGTAGCTTTAGATAGTTCGTAAGGCAATCTCGAATCACTAGGCCGAATTTTGATTAAACATTCTGTTGGCTAAAAAATATTCAMGTCGACCTCTACTGTGTTAATGGAAAGTCTTCATGGTGATTTTATGGCACCTGCCTAACAGAGAGATTATAATTTGAATGAGAACAATGACTTATGAGAAATCAAAAATTGAGAAATATATGCATTTCATTTTTATTCCTTTCAATATTCACTATGGTTTCATTTCGATTCGCTTATTACTTCCATTCTCTTAGTGAGTGGGTGAACCTTCTGTATTTTGCTTGCCTCATTTRAATGTATTTTGTGAAGGGTTTACTCGAGAGATCAGCTTCACGGTCGATACACATCAAGATAAGCCTTTTTAAACAAAAGCCATGGCTTTTGTTTTAGAACAAAGCAGAAATAGTAAAAGTGATGTTTTATCTTTGCATTTTTTCAAGCATATGAGCAAGACATTTTTGAATCTTCATTCATGTTTTTGCAGTCCCTTTTCGTTGCAATAATTATGAAAGATCTTATGTGAACTTGAAACAGGAAAAAAATTAATTTACAAGATAAAAAGAGTTCTATAATATACTATTGATTGAAATAATTACAGGACAAATGATAACAGGATAATGAACACATAATCAAGAAATTGAATTGTGTAATTTTAATTTATTGTAAGTAATAAAAAAAAGCAACAATAAATTAATTTAAAACGATGAATTGGCAATAATGTCTTTTTTTATTTATTTAAACATATTAACTCTCTGTGTTCTCTCCAAGAGCTAGGCTCATCGTGGGAGATTAAACAACCTACATTTGGTTGGTAAAATGATTAAAATCAGGATAGTCGTTATTACCAGATTCATTTTGGTTAAAACAACCTACATTTAAAAAATTTTTAATTTAAACATATTAACTCTCTGTGTTCTCTCCAAGAGCTAGGCTCATTGTGGGAGATTACACAATCATGTCTGTGCACAAAATGTGGGTGAAATTTTTTTTTTTTGGTGGCTGATTTTATCATAATGTAATGCAGCATTGAATCAGTATTAGAGAATTAAAGTGTATGCTGTTATCCATCATTGGCAGGAAGTATATTTTAAATGATACTACAGGGTTTGATTGATATRGGCTGCATCAAAGTAAATTTCTATTATTTTCACTATGTATTTTATTTTATTATTTTGGTGTTTGATTTTAATATATTCTCCAAACACTGAGTAATATTTCACTCAAAGCATGTCTTGAATGCCAKGGATCAACAGTTTATTTTGGCCTTAAAATAGTATTTTTACAGCTATTTCACTATRGTGTCACAGTGTCACGAGTAAACTATCTTGACAAGATTTTTAACTTCTTTCTTTTAGTATATCTCTCTCACCAACTACACATTTCTTTTTGTGCAACACATTTGCATTATTAGCATTTAGTAAAAATACACTCGTCAGGTGATTATTGAAAATCTCGCTCGCTGATTGGTCGAGAAACTCACACTATTACACGATAATGACCTCCAGCGATAATCCAAAATGGTGGCCATCCGCTTTGTTGCTGTTACTGGAAAAAAATGTCTTTTATCTTGTTTTTTTCCTTTTTTTTGTTGAAAGAATCACCTGTGTATTAAATAAAACAATTATTCACCTCAGGCTCAGTGAATATCGGAGAATATTTACATTGCCGCTTGAAGACTTGCGTCTCGGTAAGTATTCCCCGATATTTACTTCGCCTTCAGCGAATAACTGTTAAATGATTACATAGTCCCGTGGAAGACGTGGAAAAGAAAAACAATGAATACATAAATAACAATCAATAATCTTTCACCAAACTGCTAATTAGCTTCATGACACACAGCTTGTGCAAAGGGGGCAGAATGGTGAAGAGCAATCAGAATTTGGACTAAATGTACGCTGCACCTCAATTAATAGCTCTGATATTTTTGGTTTTCAAATGTTTCATAAACCAATTTTTATCCTAATGCATATGGTATTTGATGGCTATTACCACTTTTCTATGTTCTAAAAKAATTGACTTTTCACAGTTTCCTTTGTGTTGTTGGTGTTTTGTCCCCCTTCCACAAGGTTCCATTATTCTTAGTGTTAAAACAAAAGATGTTTTGCCATGTGATGTCATAATGAAAAAGGACAATACTCCATTTTACAGTTCCATTCAGTGACCATGAATAACAGTTTCATATCAAGGTTGRAGTTTTCCATGCATAGCAATACTACAGTTTATCATGTGCAGCAGCTCCAGCCTYGGCTTGGAAYTATTATTCATGGTCACTGAATGGAACASTAAAATGGAGTATTGCAACTAATGAAAGAAAAAAAAAAATTGATTGTACATGCACTTGGCAAGAGAAACAGTTTTTTCAACCACATCACCTACAAATGCTGAAAAAGGTCGTACCTTGGAGCTTGTGAAGGTAAAAACCACATAAATCTATGAATATTCTATATTTTATATTCTTGTTTCTTTATTTAATTATTACGCTATTTACTTGACATTTTTTATGATACTTTTGTTATAAAATTATATTTGGATATAAACTAAGGCTACATTCTGTTACATTAGGATGCAACATATACCCCAGGGGYGRATCCAGGATTTTGTTCAGGGAGGTGTGCTGTGCACAAAGTTAACACAGGGAGGGGTGCACCCCTTAGAATCAAAGGGAAAAAACAGTATTGGTTAACTTCGAAGTGGGGGCACGAAGTCGAACCAGRGAGGGGTGTGCAGCACCYCCTGCACCCCTCCCCTGTACCCTGATGACTAAAGATATCGGCTGCCTGCATTCTATCTGATATCCCATCCTGTGGGCTATTAAAATGCTAATGAAAACTTTATAGAGAAAATCAAGAAATTTTGAATAATTTTTAACTACTAGTCCAAAACATTTCATCTACACATGGTGCAGCAATACTTGTATAGTCCATGTGTTTCTTATACATTATACACATGCTAAGAGTGGTCATTCAAGGCTGCACATTTGTGTGGTAGCATAAAAAAGATGGTTATTTCATCACACCTCTTTTTAACCCTTCAAACTCTTCATTCCATGCATGACTCTAGACATGATTAGAAATCAAACCCTCACAGTGACATACTTTAGTYTCACAATATCTATTTTAGAAATCATTCTTTCTTTATACTATTACCCTTTCAGCAGCTTTATAAATGACATGAGAACTGTTTTCTCAGATGGCTTGACAAATTCCATGGCTTATAATGTAACTGATAGCTATMTAGTTTGTAGCACTCTCAATTAAAAGTGTTATATATAAGATAGCCATAGGACTGTCTTAATATGAATGTGAGATAATCTTTACTGTGAGTCTTTCTGCAAATCRACTACTTCATCTTTGGAATCTACCATTGAATCAAAAGGATTGCTCATAGATGACTCAGCCCTTAACAATCCACAAGCTATTTTGTCTTCATCAGTCATAAGCTGTGGATCAATAGCACTGTACCGTGTACCCATGAACTGACGAAGATGAATCTACAAAAGAAAAGCATMGACTAAGATAGATAATTACAATGATTAATAAGAAGACTGCTTTTGTCTTCAGAGGGGAGGCATAAGAAGGAAGGATTCTGTTCCTTAATCAAGCTTTTTAATGGACAACTTATCACAGGGTTTGTGCTACATTTTCGTTACAATATTCAAGGACTTTTTAAGCAGTTTTCAAGCACAAAAATTCGATTTTCAAGRATAAAATKTTTTGCATTAGAACATGGTTTAAGCATTGATTCAATATTACAGTGCAGCTAATTCAGCCGGGGCCACTAGCTGACATAAATAGATCTTTAATATACGCATTCTTACCAGAAGTACCAAGATATTCAGCTAGGCAATTTACGAAATATATGCAAACTCTTCCATCAATTTTAATCGTTATATATTTTAAAAGGAAAATTAGAAATAGCATTAAGTTGGCATTACACTGTAAATTTAAGGAGTATTCCAGGAGTATGGAGTTTTCCCCTATTTTCAAGGGCTTTTCAAGCGCCCTTAAAAACGTTGTGTTTTCAATTCAAGGAGTTTTCAAGGATTTCAAGGAGTAGCATGAACCCTGTTATCAATATTGAAAAGCAAGGCATGTGAGCTGRACCTACCAAATTCCTAACCATATTATCACATTAAAGGGATAGCAACATTTGTTGTCATAAAAAGTGTGTGTGCGTGTATAGGAGGAGGGTGAATACCTGCAGGTAAAGATTGACATCTGCACTTCTACACAAGTAGGGGAAGTTGCCGCCTGACTTCAAATGTGCTCTCTTTGCATGAGGGTAACACTTGTACAGTTCATCTTTGACTGGCTGAGACAATGCGCAATCATCAAACACCTATAAACRAATAAACAGGATCAAGATAATATCCACAGTATATTGAACCATTTCTTGCAATGGATTTGCAGTAGCCCAACCGATACATAATTGTCAAACTCATTAATAATTCATGAGGAAAATGCAACAGAARTCACGACCGGGAAGAGTGTTGTAAATCTGATACAAAATTGTGTTCATTTGCATAAACTTTAAGCTGGATTTTCTTGGCSAGATTCACTTTAATTTTGAAAATTTTGGTGAAACACAAAGGAACTAACCTAGACGTTTGACAAGCAATCCCCAGGGGGTGTACTTGGGTGGGTAATATGACGGGAAGGTCCAACATATTTTTTTGGGTTGATCAGCCATGTATTTTTTTAGGTCTCGAAATGAAACCCATATTTGAAACATAAATGAACCCGAGTTAATTATTTGATTTTTTTTC